TCTACTTAAACAGGTTGGAAGTGCCGAGGTGGAGGAGGAGGGATGTGGATGCGAGGTAGACCAGCCGCCTGTCAAAAAAAAGTACCAGATGGAGGCAAGGGTGACTTTATCCAAGGTTACTGCTAGACATTGCACTCAACGCCAAATACAAGGACGAGGGGGCAGAGGGGTTCACCAAAGCTCTGGGTGAGGAATTGAGGTGGGAAAATACGAAGAGGAGCTTGTTTGGGTGTCAGGAAAGAGAAGAGCAACGTGATGGGATGTCAAAGGCTGGGGACATTTTTAATAAACCTATTTCGCAGGATTCTTTGCGACAACTGGACTGGGCAGGCCCAGAACAGCCCTAGAATGGTGCTTAGTTGAAAACAGGGGTCAGAGGGGCCTTGATAAAATTGAGTTAAGGAACGAGTTTGTCATCAGGACACCCGGTCCACCAGACCAGCCTGCCCAGAGCTGAACTGGATATGAACTGAAGCTTTAAAGGGAACAGGACAGGGTCAGAACTGAAATGAGACTATTTTAATTACTGATCGTCCCTGCAAAGTTAAAAAGTTGATTGTGATATTGGCATCAGAGCCACTACCCAGAAGACAAAAAGAAGGTGCTCAGACACAGCTGACGGCATCACTAGACACAGCAGGCCCTTGGAAAATGAGGCTGAGCATGGCCGGTGGGGCAGGCAGAGTGACAGTCCCCAAGTCGTGTCCACTCTAAGCCAATGGTCAGGAAGGCAGGAAAACCAATTTCTAACACCCCAAGAGCAAGCTCCTAGCCTGGAGCAGAGCCCCATCTCACGGATGCCTATCTAGGGGTGCTTGCCGGCCTAGAAGGGTCTCTACTTTGGGGAGGCAGCCACCAGCCCCCTGGGTGCGCCTGGGCTTCCTACCATGTTTTCCCACAAGGCAGGAGGTACTCGATGGAGAATCAGTGATCCTGGCTTCCGGGGAGAAGGCTGAACCCAAGAAGCAGCCACTAGGGCGCCAGATGGCCACGGGTGTGTGAGTGTGCCAGCCATGAGGGCCCAATAGCTGGATCTACAACTCTGAGAAACTCTGCCACGTCTCACAAAGGCTGAAACCGTGCACCCCGGGTAGCAGGGGTGTGATGACAGCAGCCAGCATGCTGCAGACATGGGTCCCAGGACAGCTGCTCCACACTGGGCAGCGAAGCCAAGGCTGGAATGAACTTTACCCTGCCACAGCCCAGAGCTTACCTGCATGTTGAGGTCAGCATGGAAATACCTGCTTCACTGGGACTCCAAAGCGAAACCTGGATTCTTTAAGTAAATGGAGAAAACAACATGAGTTCTGCTGGTGTTACAGGGCACCCCAATGTGAATTGCGTTGCCTGTCTGTGGGTCTTCACCCGTGCGCTTATGATTCAATCGTATTATGGACACACTCAAAAGGTTAAATAATGGATTTATGTATAAGGAGAAAGGTAAAGGAATAACCCAGGGAAAGAGGGAGAGAAACACAGGTTAACTAGGATGTTCCTACCAGTTCTGCTGACTTGGACTCCACCGGCACGCTGAAAACCGATTGAGCGCCAAAACCATCAGCTGCGAACCACCAGGTCCCCCCAGAACCCACATGTCCGGTTTTATCCCAACCTGGCTGCTCAGCTCCGCCCTCACGTCCCAGCGTGCTTCTCCTTGGTACTGATGGGATTTGGAGTTCCAGCATCTGGAGTGGGGGCGGAGTCCATGAAACCTGTACCTGTTACACTGGGAAACTTGTCTTGAAACATGAAAGTTGGTCCAGTGCAATCAATATTATAGAGGGAAAAGTGAGTACATACACTTAAATTGTCTGTTTATGCTACTTGTCCCTGAGAACTTCTATGTGACCACAGAAAACTGCACCCAGCTGAACGGAGTAGGAACACACACCTCAGACACCTGTCTGCTTCTGCAGCTCACCGGATTATGAGCTGCACCCACCCACCTCTGGTGTCCCCACCATCTGTCCGAGTCGAGAAAAGCTCTCATCTGACCTCTTCACGGTAACCCACAAGCAGCAAGTCTTTCAGCTTCCACAATCAAACTTCAGGTCTGTTTCAAAGTAAAATGCCAAGTTCATCATAATATTGATGTATTTCTTAGTGACAAGTCTTTTCAGTATTACATCCTTAGCCCTATTTTTCCCACAAGCCCTGTAGCTGCACAATTTTGTAAAATGTGATTTTTAGGAACAAGTGTGTTGCTATAGCGGAACTGTGTGAATACTGAGAACATGGTAAGCATTCACCAAATGGCAGTTGCTATTAGTATCATAATAATAATTATTACTGAACTTCTGGTGCTGGAACTACACCTGCCTTGTTTTTCAAGCTCTTTCCCAATTCTGAACATATTTTTATCCTCATACTTTCCATACAGATTGTTTTTCTGGTGATAGATAAAAGAAACTGTAAATCTAGGAAAGTATTTTGCTGAAGACCACACAACTACATCTCAACAGGTAAAGTGCTATTACTTACCATCAAATGTCTGAAGGAAACAACATAGATATTACTTGTAAATTTACACCCAAATATTGTTAAGCGAATGTGATAACTACTACACTACGGACACACATTACATCCAAATATTGTAAAGCAAAGTACAGTAAGCACTTTGAAAGTAAAAGGAGAATAGAGAAGAGGGAATTTAATCATGAAAGAATCCTAAAGCAGTGAATTGGAATCTAGAAAGAAAGTGGATAAAAGGAAGAAAAGCCCAGGTGGAAACAAATCAATGAATAGGAGGAATCTCAAACTCATCTGCTTACAGAGGTCAAGCAATTAATATGCATGAGTGGAACGCCCAGGTGTAAGCAATAGGGAGTGGTGGGGACTGTGGCACACCCAAGGTCCCAGGAGCAGAGCAGCCTCTGGTGAGCTCCAAACAGTTAGGGCCACGGCTAAGAAGTGGGCCAGTATCTGATTTTTTTTTAAAAGATTTATGTATTTATTCGTACAGAACTGGGGTACAGGCCAGAGATGCAGAGGGTGAGAGGATTCACCAGAGACAGAGTGGGGAGCAGAACAGGCAGATCGACGAAGTACACTGCTGAGGGGAGCAGCGGGTGGGTCAGGAGAGGTCTGCCGCGCCATGTGGTCACCTCAGGGCGGGGATCAAACTCATCTGGAAGTGGCTTTAGCTTCTTTGTGCTGTGCTTTAACCCACTGCGCCACCAGGGAGGGCCCCACTGTCTGATTTTTAAGAAAAGCAGGAAATTCCGATTTTTGTGAAATTTCCAAATTTTTTAAAGTTTTAATTGTGGTCAATTTGTGGGGCTTGAGGTTAAGGTTTTTAAGCTTCAGTAACTAATTCAAAGCATGTTAAACACTTCAGGCCAAGATACCACACCTGCAGGCCCACGATGGCCGCGGCTACAAGCTCAGTGAGTTGAAGCCCAGTGAGTTAAGAGTGATGCTCAGGCCAAGGGGCCCCAAGGAAAGAAGTCTGAACACTGATGGACACAAAATATGTTATTTATTGTCAATTTCTGCAAAGACACATTTAAGCAACAAAATATACATTTGTCCAACCTTTGGAATTTGTTTTATACATTAACAAGTACAATATGCTACCATAGCAATAAATTAAATGTACACTATTTACATTACATAGGCAATCAGGGACTACATATCACACCCTCCCAAAGAGAAAAGAAAGAAAAGTCGATCATCACATGGATCACCATTTCCAAGTTACACTTCTGAGGTTCTATCACACCGAAGAGCTCTTCTCACTTACACATCAGCACTCCCAGCTGAAGTGTGGAAGGGTAACACCCGCGACAGGGGAGAGCTGGCACCCAGCTAAGGGACAGGAAGGGGGGTTAACCCTTCCAAGCAGAAATGTCACAAAATCAAAGATGATGGCATTTAAATTCCAGTATACAGGCAAACACCTCTCATGGCAGGTAAGGCACCACAGAGACACCAGCCCACCCGCCTCTCAGTAGATGGGGCTCACTGCCCTTGGCCCCGTCAGGGACTCTTCTTCCTCCCTAAGGGACACAAGAGCCAGCTGAAATGAGGAAACATGGGGCTGGATTAAAACAGGTACCAGAACTGGTAGGACATGCCCAGCTAGGCCTACAGGCTGGAAGGAACACCTTGACAAAGTCCCTGGCCACCCTTACCTTCGAGAAAGGGACGGCTATCAGCTGGGGAGAAGTCACGAGATCTAGGAGCACAGCTGACTGCCCCGATCCTGCTGGCCACCTGTAGTCACAATGCCTACCTGAACCCCAGCACCCCTTACCATAGACTCAGAACTGAACAAAGAAGGTAGTGTTGAGTTGGCACTTGGCTTAAAGGGCCAGTGTAAGAAAGTGCTGAGGGCTTGAGGTTTGTTTCTTCACTTGAGCCTCCATTTCCTTAACCAGCTCTGTCTGAAGATCAGGGAGAAACGAGAGTTCTCTCTTACCATGCTGAAGGGACACCAAGGTCCCCTTGTTTTCTTTGCTCAAGCTGCATCTAAAACCACAGGTCCTTGCCAGAAAGTCCCTAAGAATCACTCCTGGTGAAAAGAGCAGAGGCCACGGCTCCCCGCCACCCCACATCCTTGACTGCTGACATTTCCCAGCCAGTGCTGAGACCCCAACCAACTATTTTCTCCAAAACTCAGCACCCCAGAAAATGCAAGCCGCTTATCAACCAGTCAACCGGCTTGTCAACCAGGCTGTCCCGAAGATAGGACCCAGTTGCGGGATCTAACCCGAGCCACTACCTGGCTGTGTGACTTCAAACAAGCCGTTTCACCTCACCAGGCCTTAAGTTTCCCATCCAAAGATGACACAGTCAGGTTGGGTGTCACGGGGGCCTTAACAGGACTGGACACCAAGATGATGCGGACGAGGCTGAGGGAGAATATTTTTCAAGAAATATGATTTTCGACTCATTGGCATAGACAGAAACAAAGACTTTCTATCGCGAGCTTTTTCTGTCCCTGTGGTCAAGCATTGGCTGAAGTGAGGCATATGGGGCCCTACAGAGCCTGAAAGGTATCATTCCTTTCATGAGCCGGCCGCTTCCCAGAGCCAAGATGCGGCCACACAGCTCCTGGTGCAGCTCACAAGTGGCAAGCTGCAAGTGCCAGTCAGCACAGCACCATCAGGTTGTCTAGTCACAGGGACCGTGAGGCTTCAGCAGATCGTTGAGCCCAAGACTAGGAGCAGCAGTAAAAGGAGAGGCAGTTTGACTCAGAGCTGATGCAGGCGGAGGGTGGTCGAAGCAACCCCTTGGACCGAGCTGCCTCCCCGCGGTCCAGAGCGGCAAGGGGGACGGTCCTGTCCTTGTTCCCCTCCTCCCCTTGGCCTTGCAACCCCAGGGGGGCAGGCCACGCCCACTGGAAGCCACGGGGTGGACTTTCTAGACATAGTGACACAGGAAGGACCCAGAGGGAGATTCATTTCGGCTACTACTGTCCAGAGAGTGGAGACCACTTCTGGGGCTGTGCCCTTAGGGGCCATGTCTGTGCCTCAGTGTCTCTGGACACAGCCAACGATCCTGGCCACTCCCAGCATGTGGGGGCTGTGGGGAGAACTGGCAGAGTGGGGGAAGGTGAGTAAGTGGGGCAACCTGAAAACCCCAGAGCACACCCTACCATGACACAACATAGCACCTCCACCAGGCACCGTCCACACCAGCTACCAGGGAAGCGAGCCAGAACCATGGAATGGCTTTTAGAGAATGCAGCTTGACCTTTCCAGTTCCTTCAGAAATGCAGCCAACAGAACCCTCCCTGCCAGAATCCATGGGCCTCATTCCAGTGGGTGGTGCCACCGTAGTCTGAATAAAAGCTTAACAGACATTTTGTTGACCTTCTAACTAGGATAAATTTTACTGGACTAGTACTTTTGAATTAACACACTTCCTAAATGCTGTGAGGGTAAAGGTCCTCCAGGCCTGCAAAGAGGACCCCACAGAGTCATCATAAGGAGGGGATGAAGGATCAAGGTTTCTCTCTAATGGTAAAAGCAATGGAGAAACTGCCACCTCAGTAAGGAAAAAAAAAAGTCTAACATTTAGATGCCGTCACTTGGGACCAGGCCCAGCTCCCCACGCAAGGAAAGCATTTGGTTGGAAATCCTTGTCAGCTGCTCATTAAAGCAGGAGCCCAGCCAGCACCCCCGGCAGCCTGGTGTCACCAGGCCCCATGTGCGCCTAAAGCTGCACAGCTCCCGGAATCTGCTCTTCAGCCTGTTTATTTGGAGAACCCCTACCTTAAGCCCCACTGGGCAGAAGCAGCCTCACCCTGTCACCCTGCAGACTCAGGGTGCTGACAAGTGGGAGGGCTGTGGCTCCTCAGAGACCCCACTGGCCCATCCCACCGATGGGGCTCCGGCTGAGGGCACAGAGGCTACAGTGTCTGAACCCCAGTGTCTGAACCTCTGGAGTTGCAGAGTCCCACAGGGACTTCCCGCAGGGGAAGAAGAGGATGGGGGGTCAACGTTTGGCCACGGTCCAAGAATACAGTAGCTGGAAGAGACCCCTGGCAGCACTGGGCCCCCACAAGTGCCAGGAACTTAAACTGCTGGACACCGGCCAGCCCTGCATCTGTCTGACCAAACCTGGCAGCCCCACGTGACTGCCCCACTAAGGGGAGAGCTCAAGTCTCTTTTGATGTCTCCCATGAACCCCACCTCCAGCTGGGACCTGGACTCCGGCTAGCCCCCAGCCGTGAGGTTTTCCTCGGCCAAGGTCCTGGGGCCTGCCAGCTTGTGCTCCCTGGATTCCTCTCACCCTGAACGTCCACCCCTCTGTGGGAAAAAGACCTGCACACGGAGGAGCAGGTCCTCTATCGCACGGGCCTCTATCGCAGCAGCCACAAAAGGAGCCCATGCGACATACGGTGGGACAAAAAGCTGCAGCTACCATCAGAAAGAGCCTGGCACCTGCCCCCCCCACACACACCCAGCTCTGTCTGCCCCCACGGGCGGTGACAGCCAGAGGACGCGGCAGCAGGGACGCAGGCAGCCCCGGAGCCAGGTCAGCAGGCAGAGAAGACATTCCAGCACAGAAGCAACAGGTGTTTGGAGCGCCACAGACAAGAGGGGCAAGAGAGCCATTTTCCTCAAGGACAGCTGCACACCCTGGCTCCTGGCAACGCCCCCGCACCTCGGCCACCCTCCACGCATGGGCTGTTCTGGCTCTGTGACAGAACACGCTCTGGCCCTGCCTCCCCCGGAGCGGCGTCCTACTCTCGGCCTCTGCTTCCCGCCTCCCCACTCTCTGCCTCTCTGGTCCCTGACTGAGTCCTGGAAGCCAGACCCAACCTTTGCCCAACGCTTTCCTCCATGCACAGAACGAGATGACAAGTCACCAGAACACACACGACAGCGGGCGCCAGCAGCAGGGGGAGGTGGGGGGAACGAGGCCTCGTCCAGAGATGCGGGGGGGCTCGCAGGGTGTCTTGGGAGGAATGGTCGGGTCGGAACACAGGACAGACAGCCAGTCCGGTGGACAGGTGGCCAGTGGGACAGCGGCTGTGATGGTCAGAGTAGTGGATGGCACCCCCAAACTGCTGGAACAGGAGCCTTCTCTGAGACAGAATCAGGGATTCCCTGCACGAGACAAGGAGGAGGGAGTGATGAGCAAGCGGGGTAAAGTGAGGGCGGGCACGTGTGTGGGGACCACAGGCACCCAACACACTCAGGGCGAGGGCGCTGAGGGCACAGCCCGAGAAGCCGGGCAGGACCAAGCTGCACGGCAGAGTCCACCGTCCAGGGAGGTGGACATGACGTGGGCTCAGCTGTGAGCCGCCCCTCCCTTGATTCCAACTGGGCCTCAGACCCCGGGAGACCCCTGGGAGTTCAGATGGGCCTCTAGTAACACACTAGCAGGCGGGCGGTGGTGGCAAGCCGGACTGGCACCCTGCTCCCCGAAAACCACACTCCCCGAGCCGGGGCCGGGAGCAGGGTCCTTCCTGGGGGCATTTCAGTCGGTGTTTAGAGGGGTACGGCAGCTTTGGACACATCTGGCGGACACATCTCAGCCCAGAACCTGAAGACCAGGAGGGAAAGGCAAGGGGGCAAACTGAGAAAGACCCTCCCTGGGGGGGAAGCGGGCTCTGGGCTGCTCTAGGGGAAGGAGAACACGTCAGTGAGTGTGACCCACCCTGCCCTCTGCACCAGAGGCCATCGGCCCTCTGCCCCAGCAGACCTGGGCCGTCAGTGTGGCTTCAGGTCAGAAACCATTGGCCCTCGTTCTCTGGTCTCCACTAGAGAGCCTGCTGTCGGGATCTCTGGCCTTTCTCCGGATATCAGGCCACTGGTTTCCTGATCTCAAAGGCACACACCTCCCTCATGGTCACAGCAGGGCAAACACTTGACCTACCTTCGACAGGTGAAGGACTCCTCTTTCACATTAGTGACCCTGTTTCAAGAAGAATCCACATAAGCATTTGAAATAACTGGGCAACATAATCCCCACCAACTGCAGCTTCTGAGCACCAAGCTCTCTATAATCTGATTCATAAAGGGGCTCAAGGCCTTAAGTCAACAGTCCACAAGTCACATCTGTGTGTCCAGGGCTGTGGCCCTGATATAGGAAGCGTGCCAAGGAGACTGGCAGCAACCAGGAGGATGCCCAGCACGTGGGACCCACAGCATCATCCCCTCATTGCACAGAACTTTCCTTCCCCCCAGGAAAGAAAGGAGGCTCCCTGTGGTCCCCACCCCACCCCCAGATGCTTACCACACTAGAGCTTGCATGACTGAGCTTATCAAAGCGGAATTTCAGGTTTGACCTTGGGGAGTTTCTGCTTTTGGCATCTAGGAAAGAAAAGCATGCCATGAGAAGGGCTGGGACTGCAGAGGTCACTGAGGTTGTGTAACGTACGTGCGTGCGTGCGAGAGAGATGGAGAGACTGCAGAATGTCCTCCCCTCCAATGGGCCATCTAGCTGACCTGCACTGCCCATGAGAACCAACTCTTTGATTTTTAGAAATGCTGTGAGCTGGTGATTAAATAGAGTCATTTTTTACGGTTACATTAAGCTTACAGCTAAATGAACTAGACTCCTCAATAGTTCTAATAACTCATCAAATCGCACGTCCTACTGACTCCATGACATTTCCCATAATCAAGGCTCTTAGCTAATTTTGGCCCATTGTGTCTGTCCGGTAGTCTCCACTCCACACCCAGAGACACCTCACCGGTCAGCCACTGAACACCAGGCACATTAGGGTACCCATACCACAGAAATCAGCAACTGCTACAGATCGGGGCTTGTTTTGTTGTCGAAACTAATGGAGGAGATGTTCGTAAAGATTACACTTGAAACCATATTACCTGTAATCAGTACATGACCATTAGCACAAAAAACTAAATAAGTACTCTTCCTGTATTTGAAAACTATTATTTGATTCAGCATAGAGGTTGTTCGTGTCATGGACGCAATATTCCCAAAGGTTAGGCAAACCCGATGAAGCGTTGTGTGAGAGTCTACCGGCTGTATGAGATGTGAAGGACAGAACGTGCTATTATCTGCGAACTGCGGGCCCTTCCTATCAGTAGCATTTACGGTAAATGTACACTCAGGCCGAGCGCCGCACGAGAGCCAGCCGCCAGGGCCACCAGCACACCACGCCCGGGAGGAGCTTGGCTCTCTGGCTTCCTCTGGCCAAGGGAGTGTGCAGGTGGGTACAGTCCACCTGGGTGCTGCTGCCCGACCTCTGACATCTCACAGCGAAGGGCTCTGCCCAGCTCTGAGTACCTCTCAGTCTAACCCACCAGACCAGTGGCCCAAGGCCACCAGGCATGAAATGCGCATAGGTCCTGACTTCTGAGGGGACTGAAGACCCAGGTCAGGCCCTCCCAGCCACCTCCCTGTCCTCTGCCCTGCCCCTCCCTGGACATAGCTGAAAGTCTATGAGAGGTTTCCAGGCCTCTGCAAGCTGTGCTGGTCCCGTGGGCACAGAGTACAACTCCACAGGGCTGGAGGGTGAGGCAGCCCCTCAGGCTGAGAGTTAAGAGGGGGACATGTGCCTTGGGATGTCCCTTGGAGTGAGCGCTGGGCAGGAGGTCTCAGGCGCATTCCGGGTCCCCCTTGACTCTGAATCACCTTCAGTGGGTTGAGGTACTCTCTGAACTTCCCTTTGCTTTACTTAAAATCCAATTTATTGGAATATTTATTTAGCACCAAGTAGGACGTACACTTGGCTACAGACTTTTTCATTCCTATATTTTCATTCAATAGTTAGTGAAGCCCTTTTTAAAAACATCAGGGAATGTGTAGACCACACCCCACTTTACAGATGAGGAAACGGAAGGTCAGAGAGGTGGGCTGGCAAGGTGGCAGGCGGGACCAGAACCCAGCCCCGGCCTTCACAGCCACACCAGGGTGGCTGGGGCTGCAGTCTCGCCTTTAGCCCGAACGGCCCATAGCTCCTGTGCCCATATTCCCTCGCCGTGAGGACCCCAGGAGCACGTCAGCATAAACCACTCCGCTGGCGGCCCACTGGCCCACTCTGAGTTCCCATCATTTACACAAATTTCTCAACTTAAGCCTACATTTGGGGCTGTGAGCTCCTTGCTTGGGGGAGGGGGCCCTGTATTTGTAGGGTATTTAGCAGTATCCTTGACCTCTGCCCACCCACCAGCTGCAGCCCCCACACAAAATCATGAAATCCAATATGTCTCTAGACTTTGCCATACGTGCTCTGGGGAGCAAGATCACCCCTAGTTGAGAACCACTGGTGATACTACTGCCAAGTTCCTATTACTGAGCAAACATTTAGGTTAACAATTCTGGGTCTCTTACAACGATAAACTCATCTTAATCTTCACACAGTCAAACTATAAGGTAAAAACTATCCCCCCTCCACCCTCCATTTTGTTGCATGGGGAAACTGAGCCACAGAGAGGCTCCATCACATGCCCAGTGTCACACCACCAGTAGGGAGGAGATCCAGAATCTGAACCCAGGCTACAGAGTCCTACACTTACCCCCTCCCCCCATTTGTGACCCTCCTTGAGGATGGGGCCACGGCTCTGATATCTGGGCACCGAGCATGCTTGGATGGACCTCAGGCTGCAGACCTCACCCTCTCCTTAGAACTGGCTGCCAGAACCTTCTACTCTGCTGACTGCGGGGACCAAAGCACTTGCTCGCCATCCCTCCTACTAAGCCTGAAAGGCGTTTGCTCCTTGACATCTCTTGAATCCACGTCCTTCTCCCATTGTCCCAGGCACCCCTAGATTCACAGCCCTGTGACCACCCCTCACTATTCAGTGACACTTCACCCTCCCTGCACGTGCTCCCCACAGACCCTTTCCACGCTCAGTCAGCTGCAGCACCAGAATGGTCTTCCTCAACTCCAGACAGTGCTTCTCAACTTCAGAGCCTTCCAAAGCTTAAGGCCCTCCAGTGGCTTCCAAAATCCTCCCCCAGAACTATGGGGGTCCCCACTGTTGCCCTTACTGCTCTGTCCACTCTCACCCACCCCTTCCATGAACTCCAGCTAAACTGAAACGTGTGGAGTTCCAGAACACGGCCCCCATCCCTCCAGGATGCTCACAGGCGTGAGCTCTGTGACCCAGCAGCCCCAGGGCAATGATGGGGGTCAAGAAGACAGTAGAGAGAGCCTCACTGCTGGAGTCTGACACAATTCCAACTCCTCTGGCAAATCGCTGAAGTCTCTGGGCCTCAGTTTCCTCATGAGTACGGGGAGGATAAGAATGCACACCTCAACCAGAAGGGGATGGAAGGAGGTGGGAGCAGGTTTCCTGGGCTGTGGTGGTGGGCATGGTGTGAGCACATACTTTTATAGAGGTGTGACCCTAACTCCTAAAACAGATCAGGGAATATCACCTCAATAAACATAACTGGGAGGCGGGGTAGAACACAGTCGCCCTGAAGGCCAGATGAGGTGAGCTAGCAGTATTGAAGCCTGGCATTTTGAGACTGAAGAGGAAAGTCAGCAGTGTGGAATGGACAGACCCCTCCGCCCCTCCTCGCAACATGCACACAGCCAGGCACCACTGACCTGTCGGACTCCGGTTCATGATGATGGGGGTGGCAGCTGCCCCCAGGCTGGGGCTCTCGCTGCTCGGGGACGGGCTGTAGACAAACACCTCCTGCTTGAAAGGTGAGGTTGTGGAAGGCTGGCTGCTCTGGGGAGAGAGGCCGGGTGAGGGGCTCTTCCCCCCTCTATAGGAGCCCATGGGCAGCCCGTGCCTGGCCCAATGGGCCCCTCCAGACCCTCCAGCCGCTGCCTCCCTCTCTCAACTTGGACCTGCCTGCTCTTTCCTTCTTTCTCCGACTCTGACTCCAACCGCCTGCCACCCAGAAGTGCCTGGCCCAGTGCCCTGGAGTGCTGGCCACTCTGTCCTCATCCGGGAACCTGGAGTTGGGGACACTATCCATCCCAGCCTGGCCCTCTGCCGCTGCCCCCATGCCTCCCCAGAGGAGACCCCGCCCCCCTCACCACTGCTCCCAGAGGGTAGAGGTGGCTGGCTGGGACATCTCCTGTTTCCAGACGTCTCCTTTTATCTGCAGTCTGGAGTGAGGTTCTGCCCAAGTAGCAACTTAATAATTCACAGAGTAGATGTCTGGCTGGGTCCAGGGTGCACCCTCGGACTGCCCAGAGTAGCTCGGGGCCACACCTACCCCGCTGTCACACTCCTCCACGGCCTCGCCCTCCCCTGCCGTGCTGCTGAAGCTGCTGGTGCTGGAGGAGGAGCGGGAGATGTTGGCTCGGCCATTCTCCTTCAGCTTGATGAAGGGCCTGCAGGGACCGGGAAGCAAGGCAGGCCCTGGTCACTCCTGGAGACCCGCAGGCCCTCCCCAGGACCTAGAATAGTACAGGCCTGGCAGAGATCCAAGCTTCCCCCCAGGAGCCCCACAAACCCTTATCTGCAGAGAGTTCCTGGAGCAAGAGATGCCCCTCTCACTTTGCCCAGAACAGCGAGCGGAGTTCAGAGCCCCAAGCAGTTCACATCAGCCTCTCCCACCCTCACTCTCTTACTTCTCCTTGTTGGGGCAGATTTCTGGAGAGCTGGGATTGGACGAGGTCTCGGACTTTATCTCCTGAGAAGAATGCCCGCCGTCCGGGGTCTTAGGGTTGCTGGATGCACTGTCACTGAGGAAATGGGGGTGAAGAAGAGTGAGGCCGAAGACAGCACCCAAGCCCCACCCCGCCCCCAGGCCAGAGGCAGGGCGGGGTTCTGTGGGTCACAGGGAGTCCTGCCACAGGACCTCAGCTCCCCACCAAACCTCCCTTCAGGGATGGTGGCAAATGACAGGGTTTTCTGCCCCATCAGGGCTACTCCAGGCTCCTGGGTGGGAGTTGAGAGCTGCCAAACTAGAGTCCTGGCTTGATGCCCTGAGCCCAAGTGCCCCTCACCCACCCGGCATGTGCCTGGCAGTGCTCTAAGTCAAGAGCTGAGCACAGAGGGACTGAAACAGTGGCTGGCACACTACCACACAGCAGGGACACCCCAATCCATGTGGATGGGTGCAGGCAGGCCACTGCCCTGCACCCCGTGGACACCCTTCTATAGACTACAAAAGCAGCTCCCTGGAACAGCGTGAGGAGTGACGGGCACTGGCAATAGGGTTCTCTCAGCCCAGGACCTGAGTCCATTTCTCCTGCAGTTTAAAAAGATCACACACCAAGTTGGCCAGCTATGTGCCCTGTGGCAGCAGAGCAGGGGAGGACATGATGGCCTCGGACTCAGTGCGTTTTTATTTTTTCTAGAGAGAAAAACCCATATACAATTCATGCATTTAAAGTACACAATTCATTGACTTTAGGTGCTCAGAGTTGTGAAACCATCACTACCAAACTGCAGAACATTTCTTCCATCTGAACCCTCACGGCCCTCTGCTCCCTCCTCTCAGACCCTGGTGACCGCTGACCTCCTCTGTGTCTGAATTTGCCTGTTCTGGACATTTCGTGGAAATGGAACCAAACGATATGCTGTATCTTTAGTGGCTGGCTGCTCTCACTTAGCATAATCTTTTTGAGGTTGATAAATATTGTAGCATATAACAGTATTTTTAAAAATACTTTTTTAAAAATATTTTTTAATATTTAAAAAAAAATTTAATATTTTTTAAAAATATTTTTTTAATACTTTTTATTGTTAAATACTCCTCCAGCTTACGATAACGCCACATTTTATGTGCCCACTCATTAAGGGACGGTCACACAGGCTGTGTCCACTTCAGGCTATTCTGAGTAACGCTGCCATGAGCATCTGGAAGCTAGTTTTTATGTGGACAGCCGTATTTCTTTTCTCTCAGATATATACCCGGGGTGGACTCACTAGGCCATATGGTGACTATGCATCACCCTCAGAAGAACTAACCAGCTTTTTCTACCACAGCTGTACTGGTTTACATTCCTGTCAGAGATAAAAGACTTCCCCTTTCTTCATATCCTTGCCAACACTTGTGAGTATCTGTCTTTTTTATTCAGCTATCAAAAAAGATAAACTCATGCCATTTGCAGCAACATGTGTGGAGCTGGAAGGGAAATGAGTGAGTCGGACGGAGAAGGGGAATATCGCATGGTCTCTCTTCCAGGAGGAATATAAGGAAACTGAACAAAGGGTCGGAAAAGAGTAATAATAAAGAGACAAAACTTGCAAGTTGATCACAGACCTTATAGCAGGGGAGAGGGAAAGAGAGGGGGTCAAAAAGGGGAGGAAGAGCCCAAGGGACTAGGGTGAGGGTTCACAGGTGATGCGATGGGGAAGAACTAAGGGGATTACACCTGAGGGGAGTAATCAACCATTGCACAAAATAAAGTTTAATCAACACAAAAATTAAAAATAAAAATTTAAAATGTCTTTTTAATTACTCCCTCCTACTGGCGCCAAGTCTCTCAGCGCCCTCTAGTGAAGTCCCTCACGACCCCTCCTCTCGTCTGAGGCCCCAGCCTCCCCAAGTCCTCCCCATGTACCCCTCATTCCCAGTCTTCATCACTGGCTCTCCTTTCCCCACTTGGCCTCAGTCACAGGAGCTCCCCAGGACTCCACACACACCCCGATACCCCGTCCATAGAGTCATCCTCAAACATTCTCTGTGCCCGGGTAAACCCCCACTCTCCTTCTCCAGCCAAGTCCCCTTTCCTATGCTCAACACCTGTGAGTCTGACCACGGAGGATTCTGGACTTCTCTACTGGGAGGGTCCCAAGGACTCACTCACATGTGCAGGTTCCAAACAGAGCTTTCCCTCCTCCATACACCTTTCACCCCGCTGCCTGCCCACGCTCAGGGGGCTGCTACCTGCAGGACGTTGGGCAGGCAGGTGGGAATGTGGAAGTTGGCCTGAATGCCTCCCTCAGATGCACAAGCTTCTGAAGGTAGAGATGTGTCTCCTGAAGCTGTTGTCTGAGCCCATAGCAGCCACCCAAGAAATGCTGCTGGCTGAATTAAACAACAAATGGGCTCACTGGTTAAAGGAGTAGAAACACTACCACCAAGAATAGGCTACGTATGATGTCAGATGAGCGCTCCTTCTAAAAAGAACATTCTAGAAGTCCAAAGGAAGGCTCAATGAGCTCTGCCTAGGAGAATGTCCCCATATCAGAGGACATTGAATGAGCAATGGAAAAGGAGGCCAAAGAAAAGATGCCAAGCAATGTTTCTAGTCAAAAATACAAGAAAAATTGGGCCCTCCCTGGTGGCTCAATGGGTTAGGATGCAGCACTGCAAGCCAGCCCCAGCTGCTTCAGTGCGAGTTCAATCCTTGACCCGGAGGTGGTCCACATGGCGCAGCAGACCTCTCCTGACCCACCCGCTGTCCCCGTCAGCAGTGTACTTCCTCAATCTGCCTGTTCTGCTCACCACTCTGGTCCTGGTGAATCCTCTCACCACTCCATTACCTTTGGCTTGTACCCCAGTTCTAAATGCATAAATAAATAAATCTTTAGAACTCTCCTGCACTGCTGGTGGGAATGTAAACTAGTACAACCACTACGGAAAACTGTTTGGAGGTTCCTCAAACTGCTAAACATAGAGCTTCCCTACGACCCAGACATCCCACTCCTAGGTATCTACCCAAAAGACACAAAAACACTGATTGAAAAAGATACCTGCACCCCATGTTTATTGCTGCTTTATTTACAATTGGAAAAACATGGAAGCAGCCCAAATGCCCAAAAGTAGATGACTGGATTAGAAAGATGTGGTACATATATACAATGGAATATTACTCAGCAACCAAAAAAGAGAAACACATGTCTTTTGCAGCAACTTGGATGGAGCTGGAAAAGATCATGCTTAGCGAGATAAGCCAGAAAGAGAAAGAAAAATACCGGATGGTTTCACTCATAGCAGGAGTATAATGGACCAGGCAAGAAATAACAAGAATAATGAACAACCATATACCAGAGACATTTTGCAGGGGTGGAGTGGGGAATGGGATCAAAAACGATGGTGGTGGGGGGGGAAGTGCACGGGACTATGGTGATGGCACACGGGTGACTTGGTGATGGGAAATCCGCGGGGATTACAATTGAAATGGGAAAAAAAAGTGTACAAAATGATGTAAAAATAAACTGTTATACAATTTTTTAAAACTTATCTTAAACAAACAAACAAACAAATAAATAAATAAATCTTTAAAGAAAAATGACTTTGGAAAGTCCAACCCAGAGACTGGCCAAATCTGCCTCAGTGGATAAAGGGCTGCGTAACGGGAGATTCAGGCGCAGTGATGAGCAGAATGAAAGGGAAGCCATCTCCTGAAACTGCACAGGGCCTACCCAAGGCGGGGTGGGGGGTGGTGGGGGAAACGGCAGGCATCTGCTGATGGGGGCCAAACAGGGAGCTGACAAACCCACATTTGCACTAGAAAGTGGGGCCCCGACAGTTACCAGCGTGTCCGGCTGTCCCCTTGGGCTTCAGAGCCTGTGTGCAGACGGGGGAAGAGGCCCGACCGCCGCTTGATGGGGCTCCGAGACTGGTTCTTCGCTGTTGCCACCGCCACTGGAGGCTGCGGATGAAGCCACCAAACTGAGTGTTCTCACCTGAACGCAGATCTCCTTCCCCTTGTCCCCTTGTGGTCTGCACAGGGCTTCTGCAATCACCCAATGGGTCTGGAAGAGACCCCACAAAATAGCAAGACAGTAGGAAGACAGGGGCCTACAGGAACTGCAATGGAGAGACTCTGTGTTCCTGTGTTCTTCAGCCAAAGCTTATGGCCCCAGGTAATAACAAACCAGACTGTTACTCAATTCAAAAAATAAGTAAACAAAGGGTGGGGTGGGGCGGTGGAGTTGGGTGGGGCCTAGCTATGTGGTCCCTCACTTGTGCAGCAGACCAGACCCCAGCTCTTTCCCTGGGAGCTGCACTCACACTGGCGAGCAACAGAGAATGGGTCAGAGAGACCTACACTCGGTTCCTGCTCTTTCGCTTAACGGGTTGAACTTGATCAAGTCAGTTAAAATCTCTGGGCCTGCTTTTCCCCCAATGTGAAGAGGAAAACACACCAGCAGTTACCCTCAGAAAGCTGTTAGAGCAACCACAAGATTATGTCTGTGACATTTGGTGGTGGGTGTGGTGGGAAACATCAAGTTACTGAGGTAAGAAATAGTCACCGGAATGCTATAGTGTCATAACTAATGCAAACAAGTGCTATTAAGACTTTTTTAAAAGGAATTATTATACTGCAAAATGTCAGCTGAAAGTGCTCAATGCTCAGTCCTTTAAGAATCCTACTTGCGCCCTCCCTGGTGATGCAATGGGTTAAAGCACAGCACTATGAAGACATTGCAGCCCCTGAAACATGAGTTCAATCCCTCCCCAGGGAGCTGACCCACATGGCGCAGCAGACCTCTCCTGTCTGGCCCCCTGCTCCCTCAGCAGTGTACTTCATCAGTCTGCCTGTTGTGCTCCCCACTCTGTCTCTGGTGAATCCTCTCACCTCCCCCTCCACACCTCTGGCCTGTACACGTTTTGTATGTAAATCTTCTTAAAAAATAAAAATAAAAACCCTACTTGCTAAAAATATTGCCCTTGAGAACATCTCAGAATGACACATATAGTGATGCAGTAGCACATTTATGCCATTAAGAATTCTTTACATTAAATTCTGTCTGCTGGGGACAAAAAGATAAAGCCCATGAATTACTGAGCTCAGGCAGCGACTGCTATTACTGGGCACAAGACAAGGGCCAGCACCCCTCACTGTCACGGTCCCAAGGACCTGGGAAGAGATGGGTACCCTATGTCTACTTTGCAGGGTTGACCCAAAGGCGGAGGCCCCGTTGAGGAACTCACAGGACAGGACAGCAGGAGAGATGGGGTCACCTCTAGGGCTGCCAGGGAGTGGGGCGCCCACGGAGCTAGAATGGCGGCCCCCTTGTTATCCGACACGCCGGTCTAGCTGCCTGGGGACCCCCGCGCTGCACAGGGCACTCACTGAGAAGGTAGCCTTGGTGACCTCCACGCTGTTGTGGGAGATGCCCCCGCTGAGGCTGCCAGGGATGCTCCCGCCGTGCTGCTTCTTCTGGCTGCTCACCATGGTCTCCATGGAGTGACTGCGCACGCGGATGGCCCTCTGCGGACACAGGTGACAGGGGCCTGAGGGCTGCAGCCTGGCCCCGCCCCCACTGACCACACCCTCTTGGTGGTGCCCACGCACACGACACTCACGTGCACACACAGTCACGCGCACACGCACCACACTACCATCACCAGCTTGCAGGGTCTTCACATCTTTGTCTCATGGTCTGGGCATGGGTGGCTGCTGCAGGGAGGACACCAGCCAGCACTTAGCACTCCCGAGAGGTCAGTGCCCCAACTCCTTCCAGCTCAGAGGTCGTTTTCCCAAGTTTACAGTTCAGGAAAGCGAAGCTAGGGCAGCACCCTGACCTGTGTGACGCTGGCCTAGTGGACAACCTCTCTGAGCTGCTGCTGCCTCGTCTGGGAAACGGGAACAATATGCTACACACGGAAAGACGGGGTGTGGGGGAGTCAGTCATGTGCCTGTGCCCTGTTTGACTCCTTTTTTCCAGGAAACAACAGCCCTCTGCCCCTGACACGGGCTGTCCCTCCTGCGGCATGCTGCGTGCTCCATGCAACCTGGACAGCTCTGCCCGGGGACCCCGCGGGGAGCTCTTACCGACCCCTCACCCAGGAGCTGCCCCCACACTTAGGACGCTGAGAGCCCTGCCAGTACCAGCCGGCCTGCACAGCTGCTGAAATAGGAGACATGGGCGCGGCCCCACGGGCTCAGAGCAGCTCAGCTCAACAAACAGCCAGGGGCACATTGGCAAACAGTCAAGTGTCCAGGAGGGGACAACCAGGAAGGCCAGGCACCCGTCACAGGGGGTGCACGGATGAGAAGAGCTGAAGGAAGATGCTGAGCCCAACACCCACACACAGGGCCGTGGGCGGGAGGGACCACCCTGCAGGGTGCTCTGTGGCCCATGCGCCCTGACGAGTGACCCTAGAGAGGCAGGTCCCACCACACCAGGAGGGGTGAGGGGGTGGCAATTTCCTGACAAGGGCCACATGTATGACGTGCTCTGGGTCAGGAGACCCCAAAGGTGACACGAGAATTCCAGGAAGGGAAGTTTCTCTCAGCCACCCCCAAGCCCTTGTATCTCATCCCTCTGATCATTCCTGTGGTCACCCAGCAACATGTCCAGGCAGCGGTGCTGTTCTGGATGTACACCGCAAATGCTGGGGTCAGGCTGCCAGGATCTCCAGCTGAGCGCTCTCTGCCTGCACCTGTAGCTCAGGTCAAGGTTACTAAGCTTCTCTGAGCAAAATGGGCAGAGGGTATCTGTGCGAATACAGGAGAAGCTGTAGGGAGCTGAGAGACCTCACACGCCCATGCACAGGGGGCCTCACGAGGAGGACGGAGCTCCCTTCCCGCCCAGAAGCATCCAGGGACGAGCTCAAGCTCCTTCCACAGCAAGGTGGTCCCTAGAAATCAGCAAGAGTGCTGCTCCCGGCCCAAAGGAAGCGCCACAGGCCAGCAGTTCTCCAAGCTGGAATGGAGAAGGACTGCCTGCCTTCTTTTCCTTCCCAAAATGAGAGGCCGGCTCGGGAAGGAGACCATTTGCAAAGATGACTCATCTGGACATGAGGTCCTCTTGTGAGGGAGGCACAGAGCCCACTGGCAGCCCCCCTCACCCACCACCCAGTGACCCGGTCTCTCCCATTGGGAGACCTTGAGGAGCATCATCTCTAGAACACAAAACAGGTGTCAGGTGTCACCCTAGCAACAGTGTCCTGGAACGTGGTGGAAGCGGCCGGCATCACTCCACCATGTAGCCTTTGGAAAATCGAGAGAAGGAAAGGGGTGCTCTGCTCTGAGGGGTCCTCTGGGGAACCTGCCACAGTTAGGGAACGATGAGTTTCCCTAAAGCAGTCCAGCACCCAAGAATCTCACACCAGGTTCTGCTGGCCTGTGCCGCCACCACTGTCCTCGTGAGCAGCGATGTGCCCACTTGTCATTCACGTTCTGGCAAAAAGCTGCATTGATGGCGCCTGGTCTACTGTGTGCCAGACAATGGTGAAAGGACAGGAGGGCCATGGCGGCCAGAGGGGGCCTCAGGCCAGGCAGGCCGCCTGGCGTCGCCCACGCAGCGCCTCACAGCCAGGTCCGTCAGCCCTCCCCTTGCCTTCTCAGGGACGAGCCACCGGCTGTGTCCAAAGCCCCTGTGTGGAAGCCCGTTCTTGGGCTCCACGCGCGAGCTGCAGTCTCGCTGTTTCTCGGCCCGAGTCTTCCAACGGTCTGTTTTCTCCTCACACAGCTCTCCCTAGCTGTCCCCAGAGTCCACTCTCCTTCCAGTTCATTATCTCTGGACCCATCGCTGTCCTCCGCCAGCGTCATTTCCAAACCGTCGGGACACTTTTAATTTTCTCTTTAGGGGCTGAGAAGGGAGGGGTGGTGTCCTTTTCTCCGTTATCTGCCTCTGTCATAACACTTCAGCGGGCATTTTAACACCCAGTAGCTCCAAGGAGGAAGCAAGTAAACCTCACTTCCAGACAAGGGGGTTTTGTGAGTTGTTTCAATCTAACAAATGCAGCTGACGGGACGCAGAGCACAGAGGCAGCCAGAGGGGCCGCTTATCCCGACTGGGCCCTCTGGGAGAGACACTCGTTACCAGCCTGCTGAGATGGCCCCGAGCAGGAAGTTCTCTGAGTTCCGGAAAGGGGTCTTCTGTCCCGCTAGCGATGTAGATCAAGGATGGGAGCTGATGGAGATGGAAACCTTTCCTCTACCTCTCCTCTCCCACAGAACACAACTTCCACCCAAGAGCTCCCAGCTCCCAGCCTGAGGGTACTTTGCTGAGGACACTACGTGGTGCGCCTCTCTGGCCACTAGGGGGCAGCACAGCCCAGCCCATTAACTGTCACAGGCTTCAAAGGCAGGGACAGGGTCCCCCTGTGGTCTGCCTGGGTTCTGCCTTCTCCCTAGTCCTCCAACATCCCTCCTGAACCATGAGGTCGATGGAGGGTTGGGCTAGCTCAGTGTTGCTCAAAATGTGGCTTTACATACCTCTCATCACGTTTTTGTTTCATTAGGCCAGTAAAAACTTCATCAATGGCCCTCCCTGGTGGCGCAGCGGGTTAAAGCACAGCACTGGGAATCTGAAGCCACTTCCGTATGAGTTCGATTCCCACCTGCCGCCTGCCCCGGAGGAGACCACATGGCGAGCCAGACCTCTCCTGACCTGCCCACTGCTCCCCTCAGCAGTGTACTTCGTCGATCTGCCTGTTCTGCTCCCCACTCTGTCTCTGGTGAAGCCTCTCACCGCCCCTGAGCCTCTGGCCTGTACCCCAGTTCTGTATGAATAAATAAATAAATCTTTAAAAAAAAAAAAACAACTTCATCAACCGCTGTCGTGGCTGACAGTGGTGCTAGAGAACAATAGTCTCAAGACCAGTAGTTTGCAAAGGTGAATCTCTTACAGCTTCTTTACAAGGAATATTATTCTTGCAAGACACCAGGAAATCATCCACAGACCCCCAACACCAGTGACCCCATGGACCTGTCCCATGGAAATGCCTTTTCATGGTAAATTTCCCTGTAACAGTTGGGCCTCTGATTGGAAATCTCTATTTTTTTTTTAAAGATGATCATCTAAGGGAAAAGGCAAACTGTTCAAGTGTTTGTAGAAGGATTTCTGAGGATTTCTCCAGCACCCTGGATGGAGAAACAGATCACCTGGTCTGCTGTCCACGGAAGAAAAGCTTACGTGAGCGCAGGCAGAACTGACCGGGAAGGGAAGAAGAGGTATGCGGCGGGCGGCCGGCGCTGGGCGGCGTGAGCCAGGGCAGGGCCGGGCCAGCTCGTCAGGAGAGGAGGAGGCCACCACACAGGGCGGCAGAGCGACAGTCCCAAGAGGCAAGGGGTGGGTGGCTGAGATGCCTTTCAGCCCTGGGAATTCTCACGCACATTACCCTGCGCCTGGGAGAGAGGAACTTTGACAGGAAGGAAACAAAACATGCAACTTTTCTTCCTGGAATCATTTCACACGTCACTTCTTTTGAGACAGAGCCCGTGGGGGTCTGGATGAAGAACGCCAATAATTCCCACACCGCGGCAGCACCGAAGCTGCCCGTGAATAAATACCAACAGTGGAGCTGGTATCTGGAGCTGGGTGAGACACGGCCAATCCCAGAAGCTCCCAGGCCCCGGGGCTCTGTGCTACGAGGCTGGCCTAGCCGGGGGCTGGCCTCCCAGCTTGGGGACGCCAGGGCTGTGATGGCAGGCACAGGGCAAAAAGGCCCAGGACGGAGAAGAAAATCGATGTCATTGTGAGAGATCTGAGAACTGACCATCCCCTCCTGCAACCCACAGTGATGCTCTGGAGCCAGGTCTGGCAGAGGAATGCAGAAGCGGATCCCACTCAACTTTCTCCTGCAAGGATTTAAGTTTGAAATGAATTCCCCAGATTGATGGCTCAAAGCGTAATGATAAAGCCTGGAAGTCTCCTCTTCAGACACCCCTTTAGTCAGGCCCACGGGAGTCAAAGCAGACCCATTGTGGCCAGCAGCAAGGGGCTGGCCTGTGGCCTTGGGCCACTGCATTAGAGCTGCAACCTGTGTGTAGCTGCAGGGCCATTTTCTTCCTTGAGTACCGTGGGAAGAGCAGACAGCCTACCCGCCTGTCCAGGTTATAAAAAAATATTTGCAACCTGAAAAAACAATAAACACCAAAATACAGAAAGAAACCTGCAGAACTCCAAACGGCCAACGCTTTATCACACCGCTGCAAATTATAGCCTGTGCTAGCTCGTCATCTGCAGCTCATGCACATCACATTTACTGGGGGAGCACTTTGATACACTTGACATGACACCCCACCCGGTATAAGGTTTGTGAGGGCCCCAGCTCGCCTGCTTTCCCCAGGCCCAGCGGGCTTCCCTTTGCCCGCCCCCTCCACCCCGTTCTCTTGTCCCTCACCCTGTCCTCTCGATCTCCCGGTTTCTCCTATTTCACCCTGGCTGCCACTGTCCATCAGGACTGAACAGATGCCCCAGGAATCTCCACCAGTCTGGACAAGCAGCTCGGCGCCCACTTCCACCCTGTGAGGAATCCCAGCAACTGGTCCCCACAAGGGCCAGCAGAGCCATGCCCTGCTCTCTGCGGTCCAGCCTGGCAGCAAGGGACGGACCCCAGGCTTGCCCAGGCCGGACTAGCACGGGTGGAATCTTAATTGAGTGAGAATCCAGGAGGCAGTGTCACGTAGCATTAAGAGCACGGCCTTTGGAATCCGGCAGGCCTGGGTTTGCCTCCCACGTCCACTGGGTCGCTTGGGACAAGTTATGCCATCTCTTTGAGTTGTGTGAGTTTTCTCACATGTACAATTACACCCATACGTATTAAAGTTGGGTATGACTTGTTAAGCCCATAATAACAGCCTTCCTCACAAGGCACAGCAGGCAGCGGTGAGGCCTCCACGGGATGATGTGGATGAAGCTTTCACTTGACACAACAGTCACTGCTACAGCAACATTTACTGAGCGCGCCGTGTCCCAGGCCGCGAGTCCTTTTCCAGGCATTATTTCAATGAATTCTCCCAGCAGCTCCGCAACAGAGGGCCCATTAATCGCCCCCATACTACTGATGACTCTAAGCACCACGCCCAGGATCACAGGGCACTGGGATTCTGACACCGTTAGGCTCAACCCCCACCGCACGCACACAGCCTCCCAGACGAAGCTGTGCAAATCACGGTGCAGTGAATAACTAAGCCCAACGCTGACCTAAGCGTCAGGAAACCTGGGTTTCAAGCAAGGCTCTGCCTCTGTGCAGTTGCACGCTGATCAGCCCCATGGCCCTCTCAGCCAGTCCCCGTGATAACTCCCATTTTTCCAGCGCACCGGATGATAGCCGGCTCGGACCAGAATCAGGTCCCAGGAACCGTCAGTCGCTCAGTACGCACATGTGGATGGTCTTCCCTACCCTGTGCTGGTGAAGCAGCCGTCCTACCTGCCAGGCATGGGAAGTTCACTTCCTTTGGCAGTTCATTCCGGTTAGAAATTTCTTCCCTCAGAGAAGTCCACAGGGACTTGTCTGCAACTCCATCTGACAGGGCCTGGCCAGCTGGGAAGAATCCTTGGCAGTGTCCCACACTGGCTGCCGGACACCCTACGGCTGTGTCCTTGCTCCTAACTCCCCACCCTGGATCCGACGACAGGAAGAAGCAGAGGAGAGCCAAGCTGGCTGGTACCAGCTCTTCTCCTGTTTCAAACTCCTTCCCTGCCCCTGCTTGTCAGACCCCCGGGCCGGGGGGAGATGATCCAGATGAAGGCAGGATGCTGGAGACACTGTTGGCCGCTCACACCGCCGCATGCCCCTGCCCTCTGCAAACGCCTGCCCTGCCCCGCAGGTCCCGCCACGCCTGCCTGCACTTGCACTCAGCACCAGGGTCACTTCCCCTGTTGGGCCCGCTGCCCCTTCCTGCCACAGCAGGTCCAGCCAGTCTTGCACTGTACCTTAAAAGACTCCAGGAATCCTCCATGACCCCCATTTTCAAGCTTGTCCTCTTCAGGGCCCAGTCCCAGCATGGCTTGTGTGTGGGCATGGAGCTCATCGTGAAGGTTGTCCAGGAGGGCGGCTCTCGTCCGGTCCTAGAAGGGATGCGGTGCAGCTGAAGAGGTGGCACTCGGGCAGAGATGTGCCCTCTCCCCATGGGCCCGACACCAGGCCTGGGGGCGCTATTCAGGCCAACGGCGTCCGGCACTGGCACAGCCCACTCAAGTGCTGCAGTCAGCACTACAGATCTGGGCCTGGCCCCCGACTCGTTTCCTCTTTCTCTTCCCCTTGGGCCATCTCGCCCTCCCGTGACCCCACCCTGCTAATCCCAGGCCAGATCCCTGCCCGCACAGGCTGCCCACTGCCTGCTCTCTCCATCAGAAGTTCACCCCGCCATGGGCACACAGCCTCCAGGGGGCGCCATCACACAGACCAGGACAGGCCCTTCAGCAACGCAGCCTCAGCAGGCCCCACCAGGTCAGCGGGTCCTAACAGAACTCATCTCCCTGTGTCAGCGAAGAGCCACCTAATAGCTCCACTTCCCACACCCTTATAAAGAGGAGTCCACTGAGCGCCTGGCTCCGACCCTGAATCACTCATCCCCTCCTGTGCCAGCAAGCTCTCGCCATCTCTCACAGACTGCTGCAGTGGCTTCTAACTGACCACACTTTCCGCCTTCCTGCTCTTCAATCTATCCTTCTCGCCACTACCAGTGGAATCCTCTACTACTCAAGCCAAACACACCACTCTCCTGCTTTAGTGCTTGAGCTCCTCCTCGTTTCTACCTCAGAGCCCTTCTTAATCTGACCCAACCAATATCCCCAGTTATCTCCCACCATTTCACCCCTTTCTCTCAGGTCAGGTGAACGCTGGAGCAACCTCTTGAGCCAAGCTCTGCTTCTGCTGGGCCTTTGCTCATATGGGTTTCCATGTCTGGAATAACCCTTCTCATACCTTCCTCCTGGCCAGACTCTTCAGGTATCCAGATTCAGTAGCTCACAGGCCACTGCTCCAAGAGGCCTCCCCTGCTCACCTTATTCCTCGCAGGCAGCAGCAGCCCTGTCCTGAGTCACCTCCCTGAGTGGCCTCCACCCCGTGCAGTGATGGCACATACAGCAGCTCAGTCTCTTAGTGCCTCCCCCCAGCCTGTAAGCTCGGTGAGGACAGAAAGCTCACCCCACTTCCCGCTGCACCCCAGAGAAGAGACCAAAGCCTGCACACAGTAGGTATCTGTGAATGGCTCACCAGACCTGAAATTTGGGTGGAGTTTCCACAAGAAGAAAGTTCCTGACTCAAGGCTTAAAGAGGTGCAGATGACCAGCCCCCAAGAGAAGCTAACAGGTGGCAAAAAAAGACCTCAGACCTCCAGAAACTCACCTCCAGCTTTGCAAACTTGTCTGACTTGCAGCAAGCGTTCTCTGCATTGGTGAGCTTGGTGAGCAGAAACTCCCTGAACTCCGGGCCCTGGAACAGACAAGAAGCCCAAGACTCCTAGTCTCAGGTGCTGCTAACGGGGTTCTCATCGCAGTAACAGGGAGGCAGAGTACAGGCCTGAGGAGAACACTGAAAGGTCTCATGTGGACATCCGATCATGGCCTGCCAAGGCCAAGCCCACTTATTAAGATGGAAACAGGCCTCCCCGGCTCTGGAGAACCACCCTCCGCACACCCCGTGACATTTCTACAACAGGTGACTTTTGCCCACAGCTCCCAGGACTGGAGCATGATAAAAACCCCTCTTCTAGCAGAAATGTGCCCTAGAGTCAGACACTGACATGAGGCCCTGTGCTAGGCCACGGTGGCAGTGTAAGGAGAGGTGGGGCGAGACCCAGGTAAGGAGATTCCCTCCCCACCCTACCAAAGCCCTCTCTGGGGTTCCCAGTCCAATTCAGCCCACTCCAAACACTGCCACATGGGCCTGTGAACCTGGGGATGAGCTGCGGAGAGAGCAGGGTTTCCTACCTTCCGGAACACGGGGGGGTTGGGCAGCGGTGGGCCGAAGGCGGGCACGTCTTCCCTCGCCGTGACAGAGACCTGAAACAGAGCCTTGGTGTGGGCCAGGAGGGAAGGGACCAAGCTGAAGCTCACGTTCTGAGCGCTGGCCCCAGGGGAGCCTCACTTCCCACGGCACCCCCTGTTCCACCCCTCCTCCTTCCCAGGATACAAATAAAATGCTCCTGTGAGTCAGCTGTGTCACAGTTCCTAGAAGGGGGGCTGCAGGTGTGGAGTCGGCTGCGTTCCTGGAGGTCAGGAGCAGGCTTGGGGAGATGACAGGCCAGGAGGAGGGGCAGTCCACACCCCCAATTCTAATGCGGCATGGCGCCCAGACAGTTACCTCATTCCCTCATTGACTGAGATGCTAATTCCGTGGAGGTGGCGCAGTGAGAATTAGCCCTGTTTCAGGGATGAGGAAACAGATGCCCAGAGACAAGGAGCACCCCCCAAAGGCACAAGAAGCAGCGGAGAGAACAGTGGACCCTAACCTCCTGGCCCTGCTCTGGTGCTCTATTCCCATGAACATGGGCTCCCCAGACCTGGCCACGCACCAGAATCAATCCAAGTGTTTCAAAATAAATACCAATCGCCTGGGACCCATCTGAAACCTACTGAATCAGAAGCCCTAGGGCGGAGCCAGGGCTCGGTGATTGCCCATCCCTGACTCTTGCGCAGTCAGAGAGGACCAGTGTTGGAGAGCCACGGCCCCAAAGCAGGGTCAGTCAGTCTGGATGAGACCTGAATTCAGAGTGCGAGGGCCCAGACTGGGGATTGGCACTGGGGACGTCCCGGGGCTCTTTGTGGGGGTCTGCCAGACCCGGGACAGGCCCTGCACTCCATCTCTCTATCGGAATGGAGGCACCCTGTTTACCCCTGCTCTCAGTCCACGGGACTGCAGCCGTCTCTGGAGACTGCCCTCTCCCGCTCCCCAGACAGCCTGATGTGAGCTGGGCCTGGCATGCTGCCAGCCTCCCTGGCCTGTGAAATAGGGCAGATGCAGAGTCGGCCAGACCGGGTAAGCGGGCAGCTGGGAGGCAGGCCAAGCAAAGGCCCTGCAGGGTGTGCAGGGCAGGGAGTCAGAGAGAGCTGGTCGATGCAGCTTTCTCTCCCCAAGTTCAAGCCTGTCCACATGGCCCAAACTGCAGTGTCCAGGGACAAGGCATGGTGTGTGTGTGTGTGTGTGTGTGTGTGTGTGTGTGTGTGTGTGTGTGTGTGTCTGACTGACATAATTTCTGGCTGGCTCCAGCTGCCAAACACAGTCCCCCAGCACCACCCAGCATGACCGGTGGTACAAGACAGGAATTCCACCCACAGAGCCAGAATCCGGGGAGGGGGCGGTGGGAAAGCCGCTGAGAGGCTGTTGACTGCAGACACCTGGGAAAAGGCCAGAAGCCAGGCCCCGTTCTCCCCTTTTCAGTGCCACCCCCCCCCCTCTTTCTCAGTCTTGCTTTGGAGTGGTCTGTGCTGACTGGATGAGGGCTTCAGACATGCTCTGAAACCCAACGAGTCTCGCAGCCAGACAGCCCACCGCAGCAGCCATGTCAGAAAGCAGAGGCAGGACCCTTCCTGTGCCCGCCATTCATCCTCTGTTCTCTGTGTCCTCTTTCTAACAAAGCATGTGGGCCTTTGTTGCTCCCTCACTCGGGGACGGTTGGGTTGCTGGGTTGAAAGCAGAAGCTGTCTGAACACTACCCCACCTTCCTGTTTTCTAAATTCAGCAAGCACTTCCCAGCTCAGAGCAGGGCTTAAAAGGAGAAAGGCAGGTGACTCTGGGGAAGAGAATCTTCACGAAAGCGGAAGGAGCCTTGGAGGTGTGAGCAATAAGGACGCACCAGGAGGTGAGGAGTCTCCGAGGCGCCACAGAGCCCCATGTACAAGTGTGGGCTGGACGTCTCAGCAGCACTCAGAAGAGACTCAAAGAGTTGCCCTGGGGTAACAGAAAAGAGGGTACACAGACGGAAGCTCGAGGTCCCTGCATCAGAAGTAGCAGCAGGGTGACCCCAAATAGGGAGAGGAGGGGCTTCACCTCCTAGGAAGGGGACCAGTGACAGCTGGAACATCCTTCCATATGGGGGATGAGGATGACACTCATGGTGAAACAACCACCTGATGTGATGTCCGAGGTACACCCGAGTTGGTGGAACTAAGTTCCCACCTGCACCGAAAGCTCCGGGGAAAAGCTCAGAGGCAGAATGGGAGGGGGGTGCCAGCTGCCCCCCCTTTCTGGGCCCTGTGACCTCTGACCTTAAGTGACTTCGGCTCTTGGCCTCAGTTCCCTCCTGAAAAATAGGATTAGAGAGGCCTGCCTGACCAGGAGCTTCTGAGGACTCGAGGAGTTTGTGCTGCTAAGGACCTGGCAGCGCTCTGGGCATGGGGCAGGCGCCCTGTGGGGGGGACCGCTGTCACCTGTGCTGGTCTCACCTCTCCCTGCTGCACCTCTACAGGATACCTGAGATGATGGCAAGGTCCCCAAACTGCTTCCTAATCCACCACGTACACACACACCATTTCTCAACCCCACGGCATGTCCAGGCCAGAAGGAGCTCAAAGTTCGTCTCATGCAATTTCTTCATTTCAAACATATGGAAACAGAGGCTCAAGAGAAAAGAAACTGGCCCAGATTACCTAGTGGTCAGAGGCAGATCAGGACCAGAAGTCCGGGTTCCTGGACCAGGGCCTCTGGATCTGCACGTTGTCACCCCTATCCACACCCCCCTCCCAGTAGAGCCCCCCCTGGGACACAGTTCGGCCCCTGGGGCAATCCCACCCGCCATTGCCGCGGCCTCTAACTCCCCTGAGGGATCTAACGAGGTCCTCCCTCAGTCTGCTCCTCCCCTGGGTGCTGCTGGGGGTGTGGATGGACAGAATTTTGGGGTCTCCCATGAGCCCCACCCCTCTGGCCATGGTGCCCACCTGGCAGATGGTGCATTCTGGAGAAGGCCCTGCCCTTCTGTGGTCCCTGCTGCTCACACCTCTCTGAGGACAGAGCTTTGCCATGGACCACAGACCGAGTCCGGAAGATGTGGTAAAGACTTCTAGCCTCAAAAGCTAAAGACGGGGTGGTGCCTTTGGGTTTGTGGTTTTTCTTGGTATTTTCCCACTCTGTTAAGCTCTTCACAAAGTAGAGAAGCCACTTACTATAACTCCACTCCTATAAGAACTCAAGGTAAACACTGATCATCAAGGGGCCCTCCCTGCTGGCGCAGTGGGTTAAAGCACAGCACCATGAAGCTGTCCACAACCACTGCAGCACAAGTTCGATCCCTGGGCAAGAAGCTGACGCACATGGCCCAGCAAACCTCTCCTGACCCATCTGCTGCTCCCCTCAGCAGTGTATTTCAGTCAGTCTGCTTGTTCTGCTCCCCACTCTGTCTCTGGTGAATCCTCTCACCTCCCACACCTCTGGCCTGTACCCCAGTTCTTGTATGCATAAATCTTAAAAAAAAAAATAAAAACACTTATCATCCACAAGAGGCCCTGGCCCACCAGCAGGGCTAACAGCAGACCACAGCACCTGACAGCTGGGGCCCTGGGAACCTCCACACAGCAACCACTTCAGGCCCCTCTGGCCGCTGCCTGCCCCTGCTGGGTGTCAAAACAGCCAGTTGGCTTTGGAGCTGCCTACTGGTTAGACTGTGCTCATTGGCTCCGTGTCACCAGAAAGTGCCCCTCCCCAGCACACAGTAGACTAAAAACTAAAGTTGTTTCTACCAACCAACCAAGCAGTTGTTTTAAGTGAACACTCATTTTTGTCAAAGCAGGTGACCCCGTAGCCTTCAAGGAAATGCACAAACCAATTGCCAACTTTCTCCTACTTTGTAGCTAAAAACAATCAGTGCTACAGGGGCTTAGGAACGTGAACAGGAGTGTGCAAAGGAATCGGCGCACCTCAACAGGAGCATTATGGGACTTCCCTCATATTTGGTTGGAAAATTGATGTGAATTTTGCACTTAATGCATCTGGTTTGCATTGATGTAACAATTAAATGACATTTCTTCCACCAAAACCTTTGAGCAAGAGTGATGCTTCAGAGGATGACTGTGGAGCTCACGGCCTCGTAAACGGGGGAATCAGTGCTGGTCTAAGTTATTATGCAGGAGACATTTCCAGGCCTCCTGATTTCCCATTAGCAATAGAGATGCATTTACCTATAAATCAGGGTTCCTAACATTGTGGAGCAGAGAGCCCGCTGAGGAGATGAACTACAGCCTCTCCCCAGAAAATGCACACAGGCACAACACAACAGATCTCATATCTGCCGGGGGGTCAAAGACTATCTCACATCACTTTAAAAACCCTGCCTGACGAGATAATAATAATAATAATAATAATAATGAATAACTATCTACCAGAGACATTTTACGATGATGGAGTGGGGAATGAGATCCAAAATGGTGGGGGAGGGGGAATTGCACTGGACTATGGTGATGGCACACAGGTGATTTGCTGATGGGAAGCCCACGGGGATTACAAATGAGATGGAAAAGGCACAAAATGATGTAAAAATAAACTATTATTTTTTTTTTTAATTAAAAATTTTTTTTCAAGAACAAAAACAAAAAACTAGTACATACTTTTTTTTGGTCTCTGATCTCAACATAAATGGATTTGATTTTAACTTGTTCTTCCAGTCATTTTTAATAAAATGTCCCCAAAAATCCTGCCTGAGCCTCCCTCCCTGAGGTCCCATGCCCCCCAACACCACTATGATACCAGCAGTTGCCCAAGAATTTGGAATTGTTTCTCGTGAGGAAGAAGGGGTGTGAGGGCTCTTGATACAGTGGTTGGAAGTGAGCAGTGACTGGCCCTCCCTGGTGTGCAACAGGTTAGGATGCAGCACCACAAGCTAACAGCAGCCGCTTCAGTGAGAGTTCGATGCCCGGCCCCGGAGGTGACTCACATGGCACAACAGACCTCTCCTGACCCACCCGCTGCTCCCCTCAACAATACACTTCATCAGTCTGCCTATTCTGCTTCCCACTCTGTCTCTTGCCGCTCCTGCACTTCTGGCCTGTACCCTGTATGCATAAATAGATAGATCTTTAAAAATAAATAAATAAAAGAAGTGGTCGGTGAGGCGGCAGAACAAATGGGCTTGTCTGCATTAGTGAGGGTTCCGAGCCAGCCCAACAGACCGCTCACTGGTCAGAAGGCTCAGACCCAGGTGCTCGCAACTCCGTGCCCTCGGCCTCTCCAAATTAACATCACTTGCCCACAACAGTAAAACCAGAGGGGTCCACCCAGTGGCCAAGTTCAAGTAGGGGCCTTGCTCTGCACCTTCTCTCTGCCACCATTTCTTCCTCTGCTTCCACCCTTCCTCCTCTCCCCTCTCCTAATTCTTCTCCACTTATTTTTTCTCTCTCCTCTGGCTCAGCCTTACTCCAGCCAGTGGCATCGCCCAGTTTCAAAGAAGGTGCTGGGCTCCTCAGTCCTCAAGTCAGATGCTGTGGAGCGTGCTGGTGCTCACCCATGAGGCGGCCTCAGAGAGTGCTCTCCCACAAGAGTCTAGCGCCCAAGTCCAGGAGCCCAAGAACTGGAAAATCCATCACACCAAAGCCAAGCGTGCCATCTTGGAGAATGGCCGCGGGGCTACGCAAAGCATTCCCTGACATCACTGCACACGTCAAGTCGGGCCACCACTGGCTGCATCCAGGCGGTCTCCTTACCTTGTAGGATGGCGTCTCAGGGCCTGGGCTCTCCGCCTGCACTACGATGTAAGCATGTAGGAAGTTGGAGGCAATCATGTCTGGGACAAACGGTGTGTTTTCTTCTTGGAAGATGATGGCCACGATGTCATTCCCAATGTGTCTCTTTCTCTGCAGCTAAACAAAGTGTTCCATGGTTATGAGCCAGTTAGGAACACCCTGGAAACAGACTAGATCTGTACAGGAAATTCCTCATCTTCTATCTTTATACCTAAACCCTGGAACTCTGAGACCTAACTCTCCAAGGTGGGAAGGGAGGGTTGCCTCAATCTTGAGAAGTCACCAAAAAATGGAAAACATGGAGAAAATGCCTAAGCTGTGAGGAAGAGGTGAACAAGCATTTTATTGAGTTCTAGAGCATGAAAGCTTGACTCAGGACTCACAACAGTGAAAAGGGGAGGCAGGTTTTGTTGAACCTGTAACTGACCCCGGAGAGACAAACACAGGGAAACCACCTGAGAACACAAGGCGACAAGCCAGCAAGTGCTGAACCAGCTGCTGCATACAAAGGGCCTGACAGCTTGGAGGGTAAGAGAAGACCACATAGGCCTGCTGGTAATCTGACAGGGCTTCCTGGAAGGGGAGGCAGGGGAGGGAGGGTTAGAACTGATGAAAATGTGGATGAGCATGAATGAGGAGCGGATCCTTCTATTCCACCGGCGAGCAGACCCTGTGTAGAGAAGCGCAGGCCAACGCAAGTGTCCTAGTGGAAGTCATGGGGATAAAGACATCTAACCCTTGATTCTGTTTCCCAAACTGCACCTGGAGCTTTCACACATGACTTCAAGCAGCAGCGGCCACTGTGTGTGTGTCAGAAACCATGCTGGGCTGTTCAAATGTTAAGGGCTGCTATACACCAAGCCCTGGCCAGGCACTTCCCCACATACCTGTGCCTTTGCCAAGCACCTACTGCACACAGGCCCTGTGTTCTGCATGTACTGAGCACCTGCTATATATCCAGACCATGCTGGGCGCTTCTACACAAACTGTCTCACTTATTCCACACACATCATCCCATTTCTTGGGAAGAGAAAATTAATATTTATTTAGTCCTTGCCAAAAGCCAAGCTCTGTGCCAAGGTATATTTCCCACTTACATAGGTAAGCCTGAAACAGTGCCAGCAAGGAGCAGCCCTGTGCCTCCGGCTAGGACGGGAGGGCCCATGAGGGAACACAGCGTGAACGTGAAAGGTGGAGCTTAAACCTACTCTGATCACAAAAGGAATCCTGCTCCCATTTGTTTCTGGAACATTCAGTCGTTCTTTTAGAGCCAAGTCACAGTCTCATTTGCCAATTTCCTTTTTTCCTAAGAAGCCAGGCACTATGTTTACAATATTACATCTGTGCTCCCACCGCGGTTCCTTGCTCAGAAACAAATGGGTCAGCTGTGGACAAGACCCACCTTCCTTTCTTGTTTTCTGGAGACTGAAAAGGCACAGAGTGGGACGAGGTAAATGGTGCATGGCCCAGCTGCTGGTTTCAGGGCTCTAAGAGAAAGCCAGGCCCTCCTGGGGATGAGCCATCAGAAGCATCCAGTGAAAGGGAGAGCATGAAACCAATGGACACCAAGGGCTCACCCAGGGCTCTGTCTGACAGAAAGTCTGAATTCCTAAATGCGGGCTATGACAGATGAGTGCTTAAGGCTAGAAGTGCTGGTGCAGGGCAGAGTATCTTGTGCAGTAACCAGTTCTACATGATTGGGGCAGGGGACGCGGGGGACAAAAACACTGATGGCCTGAAAGGCAAACAGCTGACAGATCAGAAGCCAGACCTTGTACTGAGCCACCATTCAGAATCTGAAGACATCCCCACAACCAGCTTCGGAGGTCAGTGGTGTTATGCCCACTTGACGGGTGAGGTCAGTGGTGTTATGCCCACTTGACGGGTGAGGAAGATGAGGCCAGAGGTTAACTGGTTTGTCTGCAGTCACATGTACCGTAGAAGCAGAGCTGGCTGCTAGTGGCCATCTGTACCACTCTGTATGAGCGGGGGCCGCCAGGCTCTGCTCCCAATCCTGCCCCCAATCAGTTGACCAATAGTCTTAAACTACCCTGGGATGCCGATTCCCCGAGTCAGAGCAGAATAGCCACGAGCCCTTTCCTGCTCGCCCTACCTCCCACAAGTGGCTGTTGGCGCATGGCCTGGGCCAAACATGATTGAACCAGCCTGGACAAGAACATAGCTGGACAGACTGGCCTCTTGGTTATGAAAACAGGGAGAAGGACGAGGCCCCTAGGTAGTTCAGCCCAGAAGCAGGCTCTCACCTGACACGCCCCAGGCCTCCAGGGCCCTCCCAGACCTGGTTACCTGCTGGGCATCTCCCTCCGTAAATGGCAGCTTTGTGGAGACGTGAAACATGATCTCCCTGTCCCGGAATATTGTGTACACGGATTCCAGCCCCGTCTGCCCATGGATCACATCCAGGCCTCCTCGGAAGCTGTCAGCAAAACAGGGCAGGTGTCAGGGAGAGAAAAAGATGAAAGAGGTGAGGGAAAGAGATGATACAAAATTCCCTAAGGATATGGGAGTAGGAGAATAAGTGAGAAGACTCGGGAGAGTTCGGGCAGCGACTGCAATTCAAGGAAAGCTGGTCGATTTGTTCTTCTGAGCAGACAAGCCCTGGCATTCGAACCACAAATCCATCATTTAAAAGACAAAGCTAGAACCTCCATTTCAACCTCATCTGTGTCTTCTCCACACCACGAGGTTGCACGGGGGCGAGGGTGCTCATCTATTGTCCCGTCAAGCACTGTGCCAGTGGCTCCGTGGGCTGGGAATAAGCCCTGCTCTCTGCAAGGCCGTGTCTGAGTCCTCAGCTCAGAGCCAGGGCAAGTGGGCATACTGTTGCATTGTGGTGAGTCCCACAGAGCATCTGTGGTCAGCCAGAGGTGGTGACAGATGCTTGACATCTACCTAGTTCCCAAGACAGAGACCCACCTGGAAGTACCCAAACAGATCCCTTTGCAGACTATCGCCGACAGACAGGAGAGAAAAGCACTAAGGAGCTGGGTGGGCTTGTGGGAGCTGCTGCTCCGCTTCCTTGATAGAAATGTGGCTGTTACTGTGAGTCATACTCTTCGGTGGGCCGGAGGATGCAGGCTTCTTTAAGAACATGAGGTAACACAGACCTGTTCATGAGTTCCCCTCCTCCCCACTCCCCAGCTAGGTGATACTGTTAGGGGGAAAGGATGTCCTGAACAAACTCTACAGATACAGGTGTTGTGGACTCCACCCCTACTCCAGACACTGAAACTCCAACTCCCGGCGACACAAAAGGGAGGACTGCGAGGACCCGAGGGCAGAGGTAAGCAGCCATTGTGAGACTGTGGGCTATAAAGGCAGATATGCTGAGCTGAGGCTCTCCCCCTTGGCCTCATGGCTGGTGCCTGGTCCTTGGCTCTTGATCAGCTTTCAGTGTACTATTGGGATTCCAAGTCAGCGGAACTGGTAAGATGCACTAGCTAACTTATTTCTCTCTCTCTCTCTCTCTCTCTCTTTCTCTGCGTTGTGCCTTTTCCTTTCCCCTTGTAAATAAACCCATTATTGACCTTTATGTGTGTGTCTGCAGAGCAGTTGAATCTTAAGTGCATGAGTGAGGACCCACAGACAGGCAATCCTGTTCACACTAGGTTGCCCTATAACAATATAAGCCAGGAAATGTGCAGGAAGCACACCAGGCCAGGCGTCAGGCACTCAGGTTCCCGAGCTTCTGCCACTAAGTCACGGCCTGATCTTGGGCAAGTCATGAAATTTCTATAGGTCTCAGTTTCCTCTGTCTATAAAGTAAAGGGATAGGATCACATGACCCCTGGGGTCCTTCCTGGCTTTAAAAGACTTCATCTACTCTATAATGGACCAGGTGAGAAAATAACAAAAATAATGAACAACCATATACCAGAGACATTCTGTGGGGGCAGAGTGGGGAATGGGATCAAAAAC